AGCTGTTTCTGACACCGATCAGACAACCAGATTTCTGCATGTAGCTGTCTCCATATGAAAGTTATTTAATTCTGCCTGTGAATTCTTCCTGCCAAATGTTCAGATTTTTTCTTGCTTTATATTAATTACACACCATGTTTACCCCACTACACCACCAATCTCGTATTGATTTTTATTCATTTTCCATTTAATTTAATTTTCCAGAAAGCACGCTGAAAAACAGAAACCCACAATGTGTTAGTACGTCTCTCTACTTCCTGTGTTCCCCACCATATACGGCAGTAAGTCTTGCACATATACTCTTATTGACAGCTGTGTAGGATCAACAGCTGTTTACTGTGACAGAATCTAAATCTGACTGATCATGATTTCTTTTGCAATAATGGTTCATTGACAGTGTTTAATAATCTAATGCCTGTTAACTACAGGTGCTACAAAATTACTTAACATCTAATCTAATCATAATACAGAGATTAATATCAATCAAAGAGAGAGAAATTAATGCAAGTCTGGTACAAAAACGCATGTTTAAATCTTGCCGGCTACTCTCTGCTGCTGCCACCGTCCCTCAGTTTACTGACAGCCACCAGCAGATGAGAGGGGCCGATGCTTCGTCTCCCCAGGATCCCTGTCTGGGATAATAGAGACGCTGTCGCCTGACCCTCTCTCGGCCCTGCATGTAAATATTTGTCATTCCCTGCAAGCTAAAGTGCACCGCTTCCCCTCCTTTGGAAAACAAACCTATTATTATCATCTTTTTTTTTTTTTTTTTTTTTTTCCCCACGATGAAGGGAGCGTTTTGTGGCTTGTTGGGTTCACATCCTTACGTGATGCTGTTATATAACTGTGGAAAATGGTTTGAAATTGGCAGATTGGGTCTGATATGAAGAGAATCTGGCATGTTGTTGCACATTTTTACCCCCAAGAATGATTTGGTTGTTTGTTTATGAATTTTCTGAGTCACTTGAGCGGAGTTAGGAAATATATCACAGATAAGTCATCAACAAAGTATGGGTTAACTGGGTGAAATATATAGGAAAATGGACGCAATTAATAATCGAGGGCTCTTTCCATCTCCTCTTCAGCTCTGCCTTTGACTGGCAATCAGGCTCTTTGAGGCTAATTTGACTCTCTTAGTTTGAGTCACAGTGTTATTCACCACTGTGTGATTAATCTCCAGCAGGAGACATTTTCAGAACTGGAGTGGTTTTTAAGAGGTTCTCTCTTATGTGGGAAAAAAAGAACTGAGGCTGGGTTCAGTAGTATTTTATTTGGAACATTTAGGAGAAATTAATTTCCTAAATTGCTCAGAGTTTAAACTAAAAAACTCATATCTCATCCATTTTCAGAAGTCACAGTGATCCTTTTGAAGCCATTTACCCCACTTAGCAGAGCAAGCTCCACATTAATGATGACCACGCAGAGTAACACTAAGCAGTTATTTATTCTAGTCCGCATTCACAGCTACTTACATCCCCATCCTCTCTCTGAACTGAGGGAGATTTATTTGAGTTTTGAGCAGGTGAGCTTCTTCACTCTGTAACCAGCAGATTATTCCACCTCTTCAGCTGACAGATGATAGACTGAATGTACGATTTAGACACAAATGTATGTACTGTATATTTGAGTGAGTCTGTGTAAGTATGTGCATTTCTGCTCCACACTCACTTTTTCCAAGTAAAAAGTGTCTGAGGGGAATGTGTTGCTAAATCTGAAGTGAACTTAAAATGCAAAACTCTGATGATGAAGTCCTGCTGACTGTTTTATCATTTTCATTTTTGCGTTCTTTAATTTGAACTCTTTGCAAATGACCTCAGTTTACATGTGCTATAAAACAAAGCCCATTCAAATTGTAATTTCTTTTTCATCTTGTAATTTCTTTCTTTTTTTCCTTTTTCTTCTTTTTCTTACTATAATAAAAATGGCAGTTTAAGAGGAGTTTATGTTCATGTCTTCAAATGGCAGCTGATTTAATCTGCCTCAGCTTTTAATTAGACCTTTTCTGACCTTAACAAAGCTCCATATTGATTTTCTTTAGTTAACAGCTGCCCTCCATATGGTTTGATAATGGATATAATTGAAGTTGTGGTTTTTTTTTAAATGATTCAGTCCCATCTCACCAGCTCTGGCTCATAGCTGAAACTCAATACCTAGCTTGAACATGTTATGTAATGATGCTGGTTGTTGCTGCTCAATGACAAACCATTGTTTTGTGTGTGCACACAACCACAATGCTTCTCTTAGACCAGATCAACCAATATTCAATACCAATATCCCAATGTCTCCAGTGAGCTGCCATTTCCCATAAACTGCAGACAATACCCAGAGAGCCGAGAGGAAGATATCAAGCTTCATTAGAGACCCGTTCGCATGTGTTGACTCAAAGCAGAGGTGGCTGTCGTAGCCATCGACCTTTCCACTTTCAGGGAGCTTTGACTCACTGTGATTGCCGCCTTAAGCCTGGTTTAAGGGGCTCAGAAGTGGGGAGGAGTACTTGCTTGGTGCAGTCCATTGTTGAAGCTGAGGGGAAATGACGGGTTATCTAACAAGTATAGAAACCGGCAGTTATTGGTGGATAACTGACCTCGAGTAAACATCACTGATTTTAAGGACGCCATGGTGTTTCTTGCTTGAGCGCTGCGTCTCCGGTGGCCATCAACTTTTTATAATGTGGTTTTCATGGACTATTACTTTACAACATAGAAGTCTGGATTTTATTTGCATGTATAAGGGCTCATAAGATAATTTTGTAGGACTGTAGATGACATTGTTAGTTTACATACTGCATGTGTAACAGCACTAGTCAAAAGCATTACATTTCAGTTCTCCATTTTATTTAAAAGCAGTGTGGTTAAGTTTAACTATTCTATTTTTTATAAATGGCCCTTCACTAAGCCATTTACCATTACAAACACTGAGTGCTTGACCTCAGACAGGTGTAGACAAAAACAGGTTCTCATTTTTAGTTAGAGTCCATTTATTTATTAGCTAAAATGATAAGTGTTATCTCCAACTGACTTTCAATTGTCTCCAGTTGACTCAATTGGCGGCTACATGCACATAGCCTACTGTGCAAAGGTTTTGGCACTTTAGATGTTTAGATTCTTACCCATCACTCGTACCATCTGATGGGTCTCAAAGTTGTTAAGAGCTACCTTCACAGACAAGAAGTCAGGAGTCAGCCTCGGACTTCATAAAGAGACAGACTACACTGACACAGACTAAATCCATATACTGTGGCCAGTTCTCCAACATGTTTGAGCAGCCGACCTGCCAAGGACCTTGAAAAGCTGCGTGCAATTGTACCACAGAGAACTGGTCAAGGTTGGTCATTGACCGTAGTGCTTAAAACATTTGCACAATACTGTTTATTATATCATGCTAATTTAGACTGAAAAAAGAAACTGAGGCCCGTAGAACTGACAGGTCCGAGGCAAAAAGTCACCAACTGATGAAACACATTAGACACTATAAGTACAGTATGATAAGGAAAATGCAGACCAGACTGAATGCACAGATGTTTAACAACACAATTAGGTTTATATTTTGATGTTTTACATACAATATGTTTCACTTTTACTTGAGTAAATGAATTGAGGATCAGGATAAACCAAAGAACTCGGGTAAACTAACTAACCCATAATTATACAGATGAAGACAGAGCCACTAACGTTACATTAAGTCTGATATAAGGGTTAGTAGTGTGGTACCTGCTCCCACACAGTGGACACATGGCATCTTAATGTAGATACATCCAAAGCTTAACAGACCAGCTTCTTCCTGTTGCATTTCTTAAGCTATTATTCAGCAAATGCTGTTTGGGGTTTATGGAGCATTGTTGGTTACAAAAAAAGGCTTGTTTTGGCTTGTTTTATCACACCAAACTTACACTACAACCTACACTTTCTTACATAAAAGTAAGCGATAAAAGGGAAAAAGAGATGGAGGACTCATACAAAGAGGAGGAGGGTGGCACAGCCAATGATCTGTCATTGTCCAAACAAGCAGTTTGGATTTATGAGTAAGCACTTCCTTAATTTTCTGCTGATTAAGCATGTTATTTCTTGTGGAGGAGGCAAAGATGATTAAGGTTTTCTCATATAAATCAGTTGGCGCTTTAGTCAGCAGGCTGGTCAGCAAACACAACTTCCCGCATCTCAGACAGTATCTGTGTGATTGATGCCGAGAACATTTGTTGCACGAACATGCTTCTTTTGTGCAGTCATATGTTCCTTTCATTTTTATATCAATAAAGAGCGACTGTTATGAAACCAAACAGTCGATTTATGTGGATTTCCTCGAAGCAAATCAATTCAGAGGCAGGAAACTGAACTTTGTCTGCATATAGCAATCAATAGAGGCGACTGAACTCTGGACTGTACCACCTGATGTCATTCCGATGTCTTCCATCAATATAATGCAGGCTGAATATATATAGTGATATGCACTAAATCCAAACACTGCCCATAGATTTGGGGACTCAGACCTCTTGTTTGGACTGTTGGTTACGGTTGTTCTCTTTTTTGAGCAACTGTTCTGGAAAATGAATATTCTTTCCAGGGAAGCAAATTGTCCTGGTTTTAGTGAAAATGCCCTTTTCTTCTAAAGCTACTCTGTTTTCTTCCTGGCTTTGTGAATTTGAAGAAGCAGCACTGCTCAGAGGGCGTTTTATACTCTCTTGTATTATAAAGACAGTGATGGCTGAAACTCTTGTCAAGTGACAATCACCACCACCCATTCCCGCAAAACAGACCTGATTCAGCAGCAGAGGAAACTTAAAGATAGCTTCATTAAAGTATACATTTTTAGCCAGTTTATGTGGGATTAAAAAATTCCCATCCTACATTGAAGTCATCATCTCTATCCTCATTTAAAAACTGGTCTCTTTGTTGTAACCAAACCAAAGCTCTTCTTTTTAAAACCTTACAATGACTGTGACTCTCCCTCTTCACCAAAATCAAGAAACAAGCTCTTAACTGTGATATTACTTTCTCCCACAGCACCCGGATGCAGTCTCTCCAGGTCGACTCTGTCCAGCGCTGGATGGAGGACCTCCGCCACATGACCGAGGTGGAGTGTATGTGTGTCCTCCAGGCCAAACCCATCGGGGTGGAGGAGGACTCCCAGCAGGGAGAGTTGATTGTGGGCTCCGGGGTCGGTGCAGGGGATCATGTGGCCAGGAACAACCTGCAGACGCTCCTCCGCCGAGCGCTGGTGGTCAGCACGGAGCTCGGCAAGATGTTCCAGCGGCTGGAGAAAGGACGCTGGCAGAGGGTCCACAGCACCGCCGTACGGGCTAACTGCCACGTCCGCTCTCTGGTGCATGAGTACAGCACCGCGCGGAGCACGCCACCTGAGATGCAGAAGGTGAAGGTGTTCAGAAGTGGCTGGAATGTGAAGCTTTTAACTTATTAATGGAAGATACAGGTCGAAGTGAAGGCTTCCTCATACACCAATTAAAATATAATATCCACGTTTTCATGCTGTTACATAAAAAGACTAATTTTAGAATTATCCATATCCATAAAAATGTACTTAGGCTTATCAGTCTAACAATAGCAGCCTTGTTATCCTTCTCCAAGACCTCGACACTTCACAGGCCTGGGAGCACCAGTCATCAGAAACATACTGTATATCATCAATTACCAAATACCAAAATAAAGATAAAAAATTGCAAATCTGATTTAGAAGTGATCAGATCTTTGTTGATGGATGATCATTTAAATATCAGGGTTTTGTGCAAAAACCTTTTTGAACTCAAAGATGACTGGAAACACCAAACTGCACCAAACCTTAAAAGGCTGCAGATTTATTTAGCTTTAGTTCACCTTTGTTTAACCAGGTGAATCCCACAGTTAGAAGTTAGAAACCTCTGTCTCAAGGGAGAGTTGGTCAGGAGGGCAGCATTGCAAGTTTCAGACAGGACAATACAACATCAGACACATAAATAAAACAATACTAAGAACCAGGTGACAGAGTAGGGTTTCTCAAATAAGCTAAGAACAGAGAAAGTTCACAACAGCCTTGAACTCAGTCTGGGATACCATGTTGTTAGGTTGTCACATGGGACATGTCTGATGACTGTTTTATCACTACTCAGTGTGTTTCCTCTTTTTCATTTGTTGCAGTATGAGAAATCTTTGTTGGACAAGTGCATGGAGCTGACGAACATTACAGAGAGGTAAAACTATAAAAAGCTAATACACAATCATAGGAAAAAACAGTGTAATGATGCATAACATATCAGTAACTGTTGTTTTAAATTGCCCCCTCACCCCCAGGTGCCTTCACACTGATGATGAATTCTTCCTTAAATCCATGAGAGAGGCCATCCATGACATCCTCACTGATGTCAGTGATTCATTCAGCAACATGATCGACATGGCCTTAGCTAATGAGATCCGGGTATGTCATATGTAATATGTAAGCATATTTACCTTATGTTTTTCAATATTTATATTTTGCTCTCTGATCGTGCCGAATTTCTTCATGTCAAATGAAGGTGAGTTTAAGGCCGTGTGCAGCGTATAACAAAAGCTTTAGAGGATTGTACGCCTGAGTGAGTCACAGCTCCACCCGTGACTCTACAGTGGACACTATCTAAGTGCATTTCACACACACCACACATGGCTTTAACTCACGGCTTTAAAGGTCCCATATACTATAAAGGGACCAGTTTGAGTTTTAGAGAGTGAGGACATTTTCTGAGTCTGGCTTTGACCGTTTGAAGGCCTGTGCCTGGTTTTTGGGTTAAAGTTAGAATTAGATGTTTGTGTGTTTGTGCCAGTGAATCAACTGAGGTACAGTTTCCCAGTTCATCAACTATATACGGTCTAGTAGAAATACTGTATAAACATGGGTCCATCATTATTTGGGCTGCACTAATTGAGGATTACATCATGTTTGTATGACCGAGAGAATTAAGGTAAAGTGGAAGATATATTTATTATTTCACTCTAATGAATCCATGATTACACTCACGCACATGATGGATGATTGAATTTCATGTCTGAGACATTACACAGAGTCAATGACTGTAGGAAAAAAGTTTCTATTTATATGTTCTCATTGTGTAATTATCATTATTCACTCTTTATTATTTATTTACACTTTAAATTAAATATTTAAGCTTGCTCTACATGAGTCAGCTAGCACTCACAGATCTTAAAGCTGAGTGTAAAAACAAACAGTGATGAGCCTGTGAAACGGCACAACCTGTTATCCTGTAATCCATCTACTACCATCATTTGGGCCCAGTCTAATGGCAGAAAAAATCTAATTATCCAAATGACCTTACCTCATGGGAAGAAATATATCATTTATTTACAATGTGCAGAACTTGACAGTTTCTGACTTTGGTCCGCTGGTAGTACAGTATAGCTGATCCACGGATAATGAGATGAACAGGCTACTAGCAACAGACTTGTATTTTTCTACAAACAAAAACTGCCATCAGAATAATTTCAAAAATGCTTTGATATATGAAAACTATAAAGAGGAGATTTAAATGTTCATCAATTAAAACAAATTAACTTTAAATAGACCTTAACATTATTTTAAAAAACACAGCTAATGAGCTAATGGTAGTGTTTACTCTTCTCACAGGTCCTGATCAAACAGATTGAATCATCGGACAGCATTCACACCATCGGCAGTGCCATTAGCAACCTGCTGTCCCTCACACAGGATGGACCTCAGCTCTGCAGCATCATTGCCAAGGTACTGTGTACTGTACTTGCTAGTGGACTCTGTGCTGTCTTGGCAATGGTTATACAGACTTAATTTATAGAGACTGGGAGCATTGAAATGTATCTGTATGAGATTAATCTATCTCCACTGACGCATGTGATTGTGAAAAAGCCTGTGAGGTCTGAGATCCTGACGTCAGTGACAAGTCAGCAGCATGATGTAGTATATTCTTAATTTGCGATTTTCACTCAGACCTCCCCACTGAGTCTTTGGCTGAGGGGACTTCATTTGATATTAAATCTCCACCCCTTCCTTCTCTCTGGACACACCCCTGTTATGATCAGCCCCACCTTTTGCCATTGTTCATCATCCGGACCAGCAGACCTGCGGCTATCTCTTTATACAAGCCTCTAAAAAGCTATTTCATTGTGAGATAAGACAAGACAGACCAGACAGCAAGCCTCAGTTGGCCATTAGTTAGCTGGCTGCTTCCAGGATACTCTTGATAAGAGTCGTTCTGATGGCCTACACACACACACACACACACACACACACACACACACACACACACACACACACACACACCTCTTTGCTCCCAGATTTTCAGATCAATTCTGTCAGCTCCCATTAGCAGGGAGCACTGATCACAAATGCAGGTCGCTCAGGCTTACCTTTCTGTCAGCTCCGTCTTTCTGAACTCCCTCTGTAGCTCCTCTGTAGCTCCGCTGGCCGAACCCTCAGAGAGGTGTCTGAGGGAAACCTGCCTGCAAATGGCTACTAATGAATACCCAATACATAACATCGTCCACCTGCCATCTGACTTAATTAGCTTCCACCAGCCTCTCTGTCACATACACACCCTTTACAGTAATGCTGGCTCATATCCGAGCTGCTCACTCATTATTATTTTCCGCAGCCTGCTGACTTTACTCATGCACTTATTTCGAATAACAGCAATTAGCCGTTTAAATGCTTGGGTGGGGACCTGATATTTCTGCCTCCTCCATCTCTTTACCAGAGGGGAGTAGGTTAAATGTGTGGTGGTGAAGCAGACAGCAGGATAAATAGAGATGAATCTCTGTGAATATATTCAGCCAAGGGTTAAATAGATCTGGAGGATCTTTAGGTATTATTATGTTGATTTCATTATGCTGGAAGCACCCAATGAGTGGAGTTTAACAATATTAAACTGCATTATGTATAACAGACAGTTATAGGTGGTGGCACCTCCTTAGAGAAATAAGAGTGTTGTGTTCATAATTAGGTATTAACTTGTTATTTACATCCATCTAGCTCGATGACAACAGCAGCTCTGTCTTGCTCATTTTGCTTGTCATCTTGTTGCTAATACATCAGTGTGCATGACAGGGTTGTTATTCATACAGTCATACAGTTCTCCCCTGGGTTTTGTAGGAGAATTAAAGGCCCCCTATTCTATTTACAAGTAAAGATTTCCATGTCTTTTTTGATAATAAAGCAGGTCTAGTTTCTATATTAATACTGTGAAAGTATCAAAGCCTCAGTCCACAGAGAAATGCACACAGTCTGTGTTCAGAAACTGAGCCTTAAAACCAGCCGTCAGTACTGCTGTAACTTTGTGATGTCACAACAAAGCAGTCACTGCCCTCAGCCATGCCATACTAGAGCTCCAGAGAGAAGCCTGAGAGAGGAGATGTATAACTACACTGAGATGGTTTTTGGTTCTTAAAACCACAAATATATCCTCTTACAGATATAGAAACTTTTGATAAAACACAGCAAAAGTGTTTATTAAATGAAAAATGTGGATCCTTAAAGCTGCATTCATTTATTTCTGTATACTTGGAGGCAGCAGAAACAACCTGTAAACAGACATTTATATTACAAATCCGCTCCACAGCAGAAAGAACATTAGAAACATTAGCATTCATTTGGAGTTTTGTTTATGTTTATGTATGCCTAATAAATATGTGTCCAATATCCACTCTCTTTTTAGCTCTGTTTTGGTGTCAACCAGCTATCTGGCTCTTTAGGTGCTAAATGCTCCACCATGTTCACCAGCCTGTCTCTAACTTGCCTGCTGTTTGGTGTAAAGCACATAGCATACAGTGTTTGTTTTTTTTTGTATGTTTTTTTACTGAGAACAGCTGTTTGCTGCTGTAAACAAGGCCAATGAATGCTGGGACTGAGCTGAAAACCAAAACAATGAGCTGAAAGACGCTCAGAAAGCTAATTAAAGCTGAGTCAAGTAATAATTATATGTGGGTCTGTAACTGTGAACGACTCCTTTAACATACAAGTAGTCAGTTGTTAATATAAAAAATTCAATATACAGTAGCAGCTTTAAATAAGATGTGTAAGAAAGTAGATTTAAAAATCCATTATAGCAAGTGTATTAGGGAATCTATTTATACCTTTATATGGGAGCTAAATAAATCATATGCTTTAAAAACATGTTTCATTTACTTGTGGATAAATTATTTAATTTGTTTGCAATGCTATATTAAATCAAATGTATGCATGACAATAATGGCAAGCGGAGCGCATATGATCTTGGAAAGATACCAAAAAGGCACATGAGATGTACCATTTTTCATCTCTAATTATAATAACTCAGGATTTCAAAACATGTTCAGTGTTTTATTCTCATGTGCCTCTTATGTGTGGTTTATACTACTACCGAATAAAGCACTTCTCCATAATTGACAGCTTGTCAGACTCTGAGTAATCACGCAACCGTGACTGATTTGTCACGACTGAATGAACTGCACCCATCTGGTATACCAAGCAGGTCAGAAAAAATCATAAAAATTATTGTCAAACACCATCCATGTCTGCCTCTATATGATGACCCACTCATAATGACAAAACATAAAATAATGCTTAATATAGTTAAATAAAAGACAAAAAGATCTTTTCAATATGTGTTGAGCAAGTCGAGTCTCATTTTCTTTTCTTTAACATTTATATTTTGAGGGTAATTTATAGTCTAATTTTCACCTGATCTGCATGTCACCAACACACACATAACAACTCCACATGGACAGGACCAGGGCAAGAAAAATGTTATATGAGCTGACAGTGTTTAATACTGAGCCATGTAGCACCTCATAAATCAAACAGCAGCTGGAATATTAGAGAGCAACTATTTCATGATGTACAAGCGAGTTTAGTGTCTCATTGTTTACCTACCGTCATGACGGATACTGATCTAAATGTGTCCATGTTGGCAGACTCCTCGTGTGTGTGTCCTTGCTCTTGTGACAATGAAAGCTTCAGACTGCGGGGTGTGGGAGAGCGTGATGTCGCAGTAACTCAGGCCTGGTGAGAGTCAACGTGCCGTCAAAACTACGTGGGCAGAGAGGGAAGAGATATTTAGAGATCAAACAAAAAGAAGAAGAATGAACTGTGTTTTTGGGGCAATCATTATGCTTTTTACCAACCTTTAGTTGAACAGTGAGATTGTTTTTTATTTATTTATTCTTTTCTTTAACCAACAAGCCTTTCGTTTGCAAATCAAGAAGTAAACTGCCTGCAACCTCTTGCATCCTCCAGAAACTGCAGGCTTTGTGTCAGCGAGTACAACACACCAGAGCAAAGGTTTCAATTCAGAAAACTATGAGATGGAAAGAAATTACACGCTGTGTAGGCCTTCACATGCAAACACACGGATAGAGAGGCGTTTTTAGACGAGTAGTCAAGTTTCACATGATGATGTTAGTGCAGCAAGTACCAAAATGCGTGAGTGCGAGAACAAATGTGTCTGTGGGCTTCGTTTAAAGGATGAGGATGAAGTCAGTGGAAACAATAGAACTGCAAGTTGTTTGACAGGGAAGGGAAAGAAACAAACGACGAGCCCAACGATCCGTGAAAAGGAAAAAGCAAGAGAAAATCTGTAAAGATGAAACCAACACAGGCACCTCCGCTACAAACTGTCTGAATAAAATTGGCTGTATCAGTTTTATTTGTTCTCTTGTACATTTTTGATTGTAGTCTTTAATTTTTGGTCTCATTTATTGCTTGTTTACTTCATGTGCAAATGACCTTTATCAAGTCTATGAATACTTATCAGTTTGAATACAAAGATGCCTCTGTAGTTTAGATTATCCAATCATACAACTACAAAAATTAGCTACTTGAATGAAACGCTGGGATCAAACAACTAGCCATTCAGGTAAATTTGACAACAAGGCTGTAGGCAGATTAAGAGTCTACAGCCATGCTACAATCTCTTTGAAGCTGTACTTAGGACAGCATGTGCTTTGAGCTAAATGCTATCATCAGCATGCTAACTTGCTGATGAGCAGGATATTTACCATGTTCTTACTTATCTCAGTTTAGCATATTAGCATTCTAACATTTACTAATGAGGGCTAAACTCAAAGGACAGCTGAGGGTGATGGGAATGTCATTAGTTTTGCAGGTATTTTGTCATAAACCAAAGTATTGGAAACCCTGACCTGATGTTGGCAGGAGATCTCTAAAACGATTAGAGTTCATCCTGGCGGACAAGAATGTGTTTACCATATTACATGTTAATCCATCCAACAGTTGTCAAGGTACTTCATTCAAAACCACAAATGTGAACCTCATGGTGGCGCTAGAGGAAAAGGCAGGCGATCATCAAGTCTGTTGAATTCATGTTCTTTGGATGTCTGCACCACATTTCATGTCAATCCATCCCATAGTTGTTGAGATATTTTAGTTTGTGGACAGACTGACATGCTGCTAGCCTGACTAAAATCCATAAAACATCACACTGTCAAAAGCTTGAAAGAGACAAAACTATAAAGGAGTTTTCCACTTTATTCAAGTTCTGCCACAATCTGATGCACATCTCACATTCAGGTGTGTAGAGATATACACTGTCAGTATCAATGCCACAATGTGGAATCTTTAAGGGAGCTATTTGTAAGTTTTGCTACATAGCCAACGTTAGCTTTAACAGCCATTTACCGCCAGTCTTGCCAAGAGCCTCAGCCATTGCTGCATTTACAATACAAGAAGTTATAATGCTGTATGTCCTTTGAGCAGAGCTACATCTTCGTCGGAGCACTGACTCTGCAGTGACTAGGTATCAGAAAGTGACAAGACAGGCTAGCTCATTAGCATGCTAACTTAATTCGAAGAAAAACAGTGATGGAAATCAAAGCAAAACCAGAGGGTTGCTTTCAACCACTGGGGACACCTCTTTGTTAGTAAAGGAATTAAGTTTGATGCTGAACTCACAATGTTTGTTTTAGACTGGTAAATAAACACCTGTTAACGCTAATGTTGACTATATAGCGATAGCAAAACTTATAAATAACTCCTTTAGCAGAGATTATACATCTGTATAGATGTAAAGGTCTCATTGTCATAACTTGTTTGATATCCAGGAGCAGTTTTTAGCCAATAAAACTTTATTTTATTTTATTTTATTTTTTGTCTAAATTTTTATTTTAAACCAAAGCTCAAAAGTGCATTAGCCCATTCTGAGATTCTCCACAGACTCTCTCTTAGTTTTTTAAAGCTAAGCAACATTTGCGTCACATAAAAACAGCCAGATCAACAGCCTCTTCATCACTACCCAAACACAGCTTGAATCCGCCTGCGAGGCTCTCTGGAGTTTCAAAAGGTTTACTGAAAACTGTCTGACGGTGTTGGCAGCTCCTCCAGGGATGGCGGACCAATATTGTGTAGGCAGCGAGCAGGGAGGAGCGGTCAGGTTAGAGGGCAGGATGATTAACCACTCCAAGCCCCAGCAGCATGGCCTTCGCAGCATATGAGACATGCCAGCCCAGTATAATGGCCTTATTAGGATAATGGTGGTAGTTACCGGCTTCGTCTTCCTCCGTGTAATTCTGTCTATCTGCACGGTGAATAGAATTCAATACCTGCAAGTGTTTTTTGTCAGAAGGGTGCTGTAGTGTAGACATGGAGCCAATACAGGAGCTATTTTTGTTTGTTTACACCAGCACAACCCAACAGAAAATGCTCAGCTATTATGGCTGGCAAATCATCTCTATTTTTGCTCAGTGTTTTCCGTTCATGAAATATGTATATTTTGGCTGTTTTTGTCCAACATGATAAATTGTGTGAGCCATTTGATAGGCTCTGTGGTTGGCAGGCTCGCTGAGTGAAGCCTCCCAAATCCATCGGTCATCTCGGGTCTCCTGGACTCTTTAAAACCAGTGTGCTGCTATTGGCTTAGGTCTGTGGGACCTGATGGATCTCACAGCACAGTCTAAGCAAGGAGCAATTTGATCTGTCATTTTGCACAATCATGTGTGCTTCAAGACAAGAGCTGATTATGATGTGTGGTGCATAATTTGGTGTATAATGTCAGGCCTGTGAAAGTCTCGTTGAAAGTTGTTTTACCGACCTAACCCGCTTTTTGTTCTGCTTTAACCTGTGCTGCTGGACAATGTAGAGAGAATGAACTGAATCAAACAGTGTCCAGTTGACAAATGAACATCTGCATATGAGAATGTGATGTACGGTACCTCACAAGGTTATTATCATTAACTAAAACTAAATAACGAAAACTAGACGTGAAAAAACATTTTCATTAACTGAAATAAAAATAAAAAAGCTTTTTTTAAAAAATGATGATTAGCTGAAACTGTATTGTGTGTTTACAAAAGTAACTAAATTATAGAGATATAGAGATTTGTGGATGGTTTTTCATCTGTCCTAAGTGAATATATTTTTTAAATGATATGATGTTTTGTTGAGTTTTTATTACACAGTCCCTTTTCTGACCTTTTTGTATCTTGCCCCTGACAAATACCACATATTACAAAAAAAAACTAAAACACTGAAACTAAACTAAAACCAAGCATTTAAAAAAAAAAAAAAACTAAACTAGCAAAGCTGCTTTAAAAACAATTTAAAAGTAAACTGAAATTGAAAACAAGTCAAAACGAAATAAAATTAAAAACTAATAAAAAATCGAAAACTATTATAACTTGGCTGGGCCTTCTTAATGGAAAAATAACAGTTACTTTGGATATACAGTACCTGGAAAAGGTTTCACTGACATACAACCTGTTTAGGGTGTTGCCAGGTTGTATCAAGCTGAGGTAGCTGCCACAAATTAGTCATGGCTACAATGCTGATGGAGGAAAGCAGAGCAACAAAAGCGATATGACCTCAACCTACTGTTTAAAAGCTGCAGTGTGACTGTTAAACAGCAGGTACAGGATTAACACACACTCAGCTATAGCCTGAGAAATGCAACTGAACCCTGCTCTTTATCACAGCTCTGATGCTGCAGTTTTTAAAAAAAAATTGTGTGCCAGACCAGGGACAAATACACATGTTCATGTTCATATATAATATGGCTTTATACTGTGTTAGGGGTTACTTTCTCAATTTTCACTAGGTAAATAAGGATACATATTTATTAAACAGAGTAAGTCTTTATTTATCAGTTAATCAATAAATGAAATACCAAAAAAATAATAAACAAGTGGTGTGAGGCCACTTCAAGTCTGTTACAGTTATTTATAGTCCCCCAACTAAAAGACTTGGTCTTGTACAAATATCCAGTCTCCATTATGCACACGGTCCCTGCATTCACACAGACTCACTGTATTGTAACATATCCATATTCATGTTCATATTCATTTTGTGTGTTTTCAATGTAAATTTCTCATGGAAAAACGCTTCTCTTGTCATTTTACTGTTGAATCAAACCAGTGGTCAACCAAAGATTGAGCAGTTAAACCTGTTCAAAGACACCTGTTACTGATGCTGATGAATATAGTTTTACTGTTGCAGGGACTCTACTTGTCACAATTTAGCCCCAGTGCAGATTTATGAAGCACTGTAGTGTTGTGTAGCTCTTATTATATTTCCTTCTTCCACAGGAAGGAGCTGTGGTGGCCCTGTTTAAGATCTGCAGGCAGGACCGCTTTAAAGACCTCTACGCTCACGCTCTGAGAACAGTGGCCTCTATCTGCTGTGTGGAGGAGGGCATCAACCAACTGGACAAGGTCAATATATTACACACACACACAACTACAGATGGATTGGCAAATTTAAGGAAAACCCTGAAAAATAAGTGGAGAAACAGGATGACAATGCTCCCATCCACAGGGCACGAGGGGTCGCTGAATGGTTTGATGAGTACGACAATGATGTGAATCATTTGCTGTGGCCTTCACAGTCACCAGATCTCAAAACAGTTACACCTATGGGAAATTTTGGACTGACATGTTAAACAGCACTCTCCACCACCATTATTAAAACACCAAATGAGGGAATATGTTTTGGAAGAATGGTGGTCATCCTCCAGTAGACTTGGAGAATCAATGACAAGGAGCACTGAAGCCGTTATGGAAACACGTGGTGGCCCAACACCTTACTAAGACACTTTATGTTGGTTTTTCCTTTAATTTGTCACTCACCTGTATATATATATATTCTATTCTTATTGGTATACAGCAATTCACTAACCCTACCCTCATCCATCACAACTGAAATCTAATCTAACCTAACCTAAATCTAACTCTAACCTGGGCCTTAATTTAGATCTTAACGTTAGCTCAATTCTAAAGTTAATCAAAAACTTGGTTTGGGTTTCGGACCGTGATAATAATAGCTGATTGGGTAATTCATTTAATACAACTGAGTATTTATCAGGGACATATTTGAAGATTCATTGTTCTTAGATAAGCAGCAGTTGGCCTTCAAGGCAAATATTCATCTATAACTCATGGCCAGATGTAAAAAAACAAAAAGAAAACATTAAAATGCGGAAGAAAATTGTACAAGAGCACTAATCCAGATTTTCTTGTAATAGAAAAATGGGTATGTGGATGTGTATGAGACAGAGAAAGAGAGAGAGAGAGAGGGAGAGGGAGAAGGAGAGGACATTAATCAAAACTAAGTAAGTACAGTACTTCCAGTAAAATACCTTGGCTACCTCCAGTCCAGACAGATTATGTTTACACTGATCAGCTGAAAGTTGTAGCTCAGACAGGCAGTTGCTCCTCTTCCCAGCAGCAGCACAGTATATCCTGCCTAGTACACTTTCGGCCAAGCTCCCACTCTCCATGTTATGACTGGGAGGCTGTAGTTTGTTTTCACAGGTGAACTTGCGCCAACAATGGCAGCAGGAGGAGGCTTGGCTGCACAGACATAGTGTGTGAATTTGAGGATCAGTAGTTTGAATGAAAGATTTAACAGAAAAAAGTATTTGTTTCTTCACTGGGAAATAAAATAATGTCTTCTTTGTATTAGGACATCCTTTTGATATACTATAAAATATCTGTACATTGGTTTGAGATTACAGTACCTGGTACCTTATATTTGGTATAAAGTACCAGTTATAATAATATAATATATAATAATATAAATATATCATTATCTTTTGCCAGTGCAGCAGAGAATAGTATTTACCAAAATCATGATTCCTTAAAACATTTAACCTTTAAGTCAGTGTTATACTTTCCACATCTTTGAGCATGCAAGGGGTTGTCATTTTTGTCATCAATATGCTGTGTTCGTGCGACCACTACACTAGAAGGGTACCAACTGCAAACAAACATGGACGCCAAGTTTTAAAGGAGCCATTTGTAAGTATTGCTATTGCTATATAGCCAGCGTTAGCATTAGCAGCTGTTTACTTACCAGTCTAGAAGAAACATTGCAAGTTCACCATCAAACTTCTTTCCTTTACTCACCAAGAGCTGTCTCTAGAGCTGGAAAGCAATGTTACCTCTTGTTTCTATCACGTCTTTTCTTCTACCGAAGCTAGCATGCTAACAAGCTAGCCCCGACCTGTCTTGTCACTTTCCGATAGCAACTCACTGTAGCCTCCAATCAGCCCTGAAGAAGTAGTGCTGCTTAGAGAGCGTATTATAGCCTCTTGTTTTATAAAGACGATGGCCGAAGCCACCTGTTCCTTGGAAGAAACCACGAGAAAACTTACAAATAGCCCCTTTAAGAGAACCTGTATGATTAGGTCGGCCGCCACCCTCACCTCAATTCATCTTTAGAATAATACAAAGACAACCAAATGTGTTGTAGTTTTTCTTGCAAGGATGCCGCCATTTTGATTTGATTCATAGTGCACATGGGTGAAATACGTAGATGATGAGCTGCTGCAGTGAGCATAACTGAAGCCTTACTGGAGAGGACACGCATGTTGCAGGTACTTCAGGCAGACTTGATTGTAAAATGTAGTGTAGGAACTGACAGGGCCAAACTTAACAGCAACACTGTTTTTGTGTTTGTCTCATAATGAATAATTAATGTTACATGTTGCTCCTTCATATTGTTTTGGAGGCAAAAACTGACTCACACAGGCTCCATGGATTTATTACTACACTACTATTTTGGAGAAACTTTTGACTGCAGTAGTTGAGTTTTCCAGCTTTCTATTTATTTGATGAAATTTTCATGAATGAGTTCACTAAGTTCAGTCACCTCAGGGTTGGTGAACCGCCATTAAACTCTCTAACTGTATAATTTTAGGACAGGAGGCGGTGAGGAAATAAGCACCACACTGTGTAAGGTTAAGTATGTGTTTTTTTTCTGATGCCAGAATTATACAGCACATACACAAGAAGATGAGTCATGATTTACAGTGAGTCTCTGAGGTACGCAGAAATGAGATTATTAAATGGGACCTCCTGACCGATGAGTTTACAGGTCAAACATTTAGACCTGAGTGACTTCTCTCAGTGTTTGTGTCTATGTGTAAAGAAAAAAAAAAGGTGAAACAGAGAGAGAAAACTAATGATACAGCCTTCTGTGTTTGTCCCTGTTTTTTCCCTATCGAGAATTCAACCACAATAAACAACAGACGCACCTGTGTCAAGCGAGCGTTTACAGAAAGACAAATATAACCTGATTCCAGTGAATAATGATGCCACAATGGTGTCTGCGTTCACATATAGAGCAGCTGGGACAGCATGAATCATCCGAGTGTGAAAACTTTTTAACGGGAACCAAAGTCCGCCCCAGATTAGCAGCTTCGTCCCGGGAGAGAGGCTGTCAGGCAAGTCTATGCTACCAACCGCTCACCGGCGACCGCTCAGGCTTGAGAAACACAACTGTCACTGTTGAGGGGTGATTGAGAAAAAGGGGCCGGTGTGCACCAGCACTGCTCATTGGTGAATATACAGTACACCTCTTAGTTTTGCTCCCAACAGGAACACTGTGTAATCATAATATGGTGAATAGGAAAAGTATTGATTGTGAGTGAGATGGACAAAGAAAAAGAACTTCCACATCAAGTAGGCTACACTGAAAAAGATCAACTTTATTTTATTTATTCATTTATTTTATCGGTGAAAAAACATAATGAACAGAAAGTGACAGCAGATATTGTGGCTAGGAAACCATAAAACACAGACAGAGAGCTGACGTGTCAAAGTGTATATGAAATAAGATTTAGGGGTGTAGAATGAATATTGTTGGGTAAGTCACGGGTAGTGTGTGTGTGTGTGTGTGTGTGTGTGTAAAAAGATCAGTTTTAGCTCACAGTTCTACAAAATAGATCTAAATTATACGACATAATTGCCCTCAAGTGCAACACACACACATATTTTGTCTAGCCCTAAATCACATGATGTAGCACACAACAGAAGAGTCACATTGACGGAGCCTGGATGTGGCCAGTACGTGAAGTGAATGCACTTCTGAAGCGTCTATGTATGTCGATGCTTCGTGTCCTGATGAATGTAAATTTGTGATGCTACACACTGGTGTGTGTGTCGCCCTCCTATCACTTCAGGGTGCCATATTTTAGAATAGAGCAGTGGTTCCCAACCGGCGGGCCGGGGCCCACTGGTGGCCCGCAAAGGTTGCAAGTGGGCCGACAACATTTTCAAAACAGAAAAATTTTGGTGAAGATGTAATTATAGAATATATATAAATATGTCAATAATATTTTTAAATGTTTTAAAAGAAAATGCTTTTTAAAAACATTTTTAAAAAAATTTCGTGTAAGGCCTATCACTGTGATAAACTAATGGCAGGAACTGGTTGCTGACCAGACGACTTTGCCGCTGGACTACATCATATAGTTTTTTGCTAGTCTGAAAATTTTTTTTGCTAATCAAATCTTGTTTGCAACAGGAAGAATTAAAGGAGAGTCAAGAGACAGATGGTGAATCGACAAGTGATCTCTCCTCTGTCAAACAAAAAAGAAAAATTGTTGAATTGAGTTTACATGCTTTCAGTTGAGTCCTGAATGTTTGATCGTTATCATTAAAATAAAAAAGTGTTCAGAGAAGGCATTATTCAGCCTCCACGGTGTTACAGTCAGATGTGGGCCGCCAACATTTTAGATTTTCAAGTTGGAAAAGGTTGGGAACCACTGATATAGAGTATATTAGAGTATTTGGGATTTCTTTTGTTATTTTCCCTTTAATAATGCATGATTACCCCCTCTCTGCTAAGTATTCATGTCGTGTAAGTTGAGAGGAAAAGTTTCACATTTTCATTGGGAGTCCAGGTTTAACATTCTGCTCTTTTGTTCCTGTAACAGAGAACCACAATTCAATTTATTTCCTCGATCACAAGCAAAAAGTAGATGAAAATAACAGTGACAGTGGCATCGACTCTTAAAAGTGCAGAGAAGCGGTTTGGCGTTGGCGCAGAGATTGAACTGAGTGAGATACATCCACTGTAGGGTAAATGAGGAGTCGGGGAACGTTCTATTTTTGGGAGGAGGAGGAGGAGGTGCAGGTGGGGGATAGTGGGGGAAACAGAGGGGGGACGGTAGATGAATGGGGAGGGGGTGGAGAGTGGACTGTTCCACGTCAGTGGGTCGTGCTGGCACTCTGCTACAGACGTCCACAGAGACAAAAATAGGGAAATGCCCTGTGAAGCTTGGTGTGCGGATGCTCGTCAGCAGATAGGACTGACAGGTGTGGCTGGCTGAGAGTGATGCTCTGCCTCACTCTGGATGCTCGTCTCTAAACTTTAGTTTTCAGGAGAGTTGGTTGATGGTGACGGAGCATCAGAAGCTTCAGTGTGCTCTTTCCTAAATGATATCAATATTGACTAAAATTGAACAGTGACTGTAATAAAGAAAACAATGTTTCTGATCTATCAGGTAATGCATTTTCTCCTGATTATGAATTTTAATTGGTACTGTGGAATAATCCCAGAGTGTGTGCTGATTTTCAGCATTTGCACACATGCAGGACTGGCATATGATGCAGAACAAGCAGCAGCTGTGTTAAACTTTATATGAACTGTGCAACACTGCCCTCCAGTGGATAAAGATTGGTTCTACATCTACATAATTTTCTGAAGCCTCCATACTCTCATACCAAATCATACACACAAGTAAACACAACCACACAGAGGAGATCACTATGACCTCATGCCCCTGAGTGAACTTGTCTTCAGAGGAGGATTTCCGAAATCACACACAACTACAAAAATATCAAGGACAACAGAGTAAAGTCCAAAACTTGTTTCCATTGTGGTCCACTGATGTAAAGAGAGTAAAGCTGCAGGAGTCAGTGTGACATCATAGGGTTTTGGCGACAGCCAGGGTTTCTGTGGATCCTTAAAATGTTTTAGAAAAAGGCCTTAAATTTAGATTAAAAACATGTGCAGACCAACAAACCAGCACAGTAAATACCTACTGTATATCAACTTGAAAAAACTCCAAGACCTTAAAATAGATTATAAAAATACATATACAGTATATTTTTAGATAGGATTATATAAGTTTATTCCTCCAAATTTCCAATCAACCAAAATTTGACTTTGTTTTTTTTTTTTTAAATGTGTTGCTTACTTATTATTCTAATGTGCAAAGCAAACTTGTTCCTTATTCCTGGCACCATAGAACCTAAAGGAACAGACACCCTTATTAGTATTAAACCTCGGCAAGCACCAGTTGGCAACACTGGCTCTTTGGTGGCATGAGTTCACCCTGAGTCTACAAAGGTCGTCTTTGAGCTACACTGACAACAACTCACATTAAATTTTAAGTATTTCTAGATTGATTTACAACTGTCCTGGCAGCCACTGGTTTCCATTCAATTTCTCACAGTATGGAAAACTTTAGACTTTAGTCAATCAGTCAATCACTTTATTTGTCCCCAGTGGGGACTTTAGCACACATACAAACTTAAAAACACAGGGCACATAAATGCAACACCAAGACCAAACGCTAAAGGACAATGAGTTAATAAAATACAAAACAGAAACAGTACATTAGTAGACATCAGGTTAAAACAACATCTACCTTTTCCTCCTCAAATTCAGGAGGGAGACGGCAGAGTGTTTGAATCAGTGGAGGGAACCAGATGGCAGAAACTGAGTCTGCTGATGTAAAGGAACAATCTGACAGGATGGATTGAGTTTGTTGTAAAGATCCTGCAGATTGTCCTGTGAACCAGTTGTTTTACTACAGACATTTACCACCTTAAACGGAGGCTCACGATAGGTCAGGCAGGCACTGATGTCAGCTATAGTCACATGTCCAATACACCCTCCAATCATGTATGTCTATAACAATGGACATCGGGCTCCATATAAACATTTGGTTCACAATCAGTCTGCTTACAACAACGCTGAGCTCTGCATCCTTGCTGCCACACTGCTGCTTTCAGGATTTAACCCCCCCACCTCCCACTGTATTAATATTTAGTTGTATGTGCATTTTGAATGTTATCAACATGTATCATGCGCAGTAAAATGTTGTGCACATCAGGCTCAGTAATGAATTGTCATGAACTCACCAGTGAGCCTTTTTTTTGTCGAGGTAATTCAGTTAGTGGCAGTTAGTAAAACTCCTCCTATTGGTGCATTGTGTATCACACTCAGATGGCTGGAACTGTTTCATGCTTGGTGCTGTTGAGTAGTTTACATATTCGTAAATGTGTGAAGAAGTGCAACCCCTTACTTTTTGCTTATTGATTCCACGTGTAGCACACACACCAGACAGCCTGAGAACTCTGAAGTCACTTATAGTTCAGCTTAAATCAAATGAATCATTAGTGACTGTTACTGCTAATACACCATGCACCTCCAGGTTGAAGTCAGGGGTCAGGTACAATGTATTTCCCACGGAGATCACAGTGCTCTTATTGTTGAAGACTATTTCTGCGGTGACAGTGATTGAATGTTTCCTCTAAGGGTGAAATGAGAGTCATGCCCTTGACTAGAAATAACTAAATGAAGTAAATGTACAGGAGCATGAGACAAAACAGATTCATTACAGAATAATTGCTGGAACCATCACTGACCAACTCTAACGAAGAGGAACTGAGAGTAGCTCCACACCAACCAGAGAGAAGAAGAAGCCACAAAACATGAACTCCCACGCTTTTAGATCAAGTTGAATGGCACGATTTATTTTAAATTAAACTTAAAGAATTCGGGAACAAAGTGGGCAAGTTTCGAGTCAATCTGAAATGACAGTTAAAACTGTAGAAGAAGCTATTGCTACTCAACAAGCTAACTGATAACAGCTGTCAACTATCCAACTAGACCAGGACAAAACTATAAAAAAGGATGGCAAACAGAGGAGGAAAGCAACACCAAAGATAAGGAAAGGAAAGAGACAAGAATAAGAAGGATTAACTACACATTAACTACATTAAAGAAAAACTGGATTTCTAGTACATGTAGTATAGTCCATGTACAAAAACATAGCGAAACAGCTTAGCTACAGAAAGCAGAGAACACAGGAGTAACTTCTCTCAGTTGGAAAAATGGATCCAAAACAATTACAACCAGACGGATGGAGTCGTGCTCTGGTGATCGACTGCCCAGAGGACATGACCAGTGAAGCAGGGAGGAAGAAATACAGAAGAAGCTGCTCAGAGATCACCCTGAGACATCCTGAGACAGACTTTAAAAGGCAAGGTGACAGAGCAGTAACAACAGACCTGCAGACCTTCTTTACATAGCACCCAGACGCTTGGCATTCAACGCTCTCTGTGAGCAGTATAATAACCTTCAAAATGACTGGCAACTAATCCATCCGACAGGTATATACAGATACTGTACCCCAAATTCAAGCACAGTGACAGTTCAGGGGTCTCAGACAAAACTAAGACTTTGAAATAGACTTCTGCAGACTGAAAACTGAAAACTTTCCTCGCTCAAAGTTCCATCAGATTCAACCGCCTGGCCTTCTCCTGCTCCAACCTCCCATGTCCACACAGCCTCCAGCACTCCTCCACCTTCCCGCTTCAACAGCCCTCACACACTCAGGACACCAGTGTCAGTGCAGCTTCAGTCAAATCTCCATAAAGAAATCCGGCATCACCAGGCCCAGGGTGATGTCCTGTTGATGTGAGCATGTAGTGGCCCACTGAGGCCCTGCATGCAGACTTTTGTAGGTATCTGTATTAACATCCAACTGATGATGAATGATTATTAACATTAAATAAAGAACACTCATATTTTGTTTTTTTTTCTCAAACTGAGCCCTGAAGGGATTTCAGGCACCACAAACCCAAGAACTGAGCCCCTAAAAGAGTTCCTTCTGATCAAATAATACCCAGTACTGTTCAACCTCAGACCAGCACCGCTCTCCAACCACTAATCAGAGTAAACCAAATTATTAAATCATCAAAAGATGCCTATCTGGAACGCTGGACGAATCAAACCAAAACTCTAAACAAACTTAATTGCTATCTGGCCCTAAACCATGAATATGAATTGGCAGAGTGTCTCTTTACTGTCAGAGACACAAAGCAGAGACAGACTCAGTGACCACAGTCCAACCATAGAGAAGGGACGACACAGGAAGTCCTGACCAACAGAGAAAGTCTGTGGTCACATGTATTTTTTTATGCCATTTCCTTTTTCTGTTTATTTGATTTGACTTAATGAAGTGTATTTTGTTCTCATTTCATTATTGAATTGTATTATTCTTAATGCTTTGGACCTTTATGCCAATAAAACATACTGAATTATATTCAATTGAATTGTATCCCTGGTGTTTTCCTTTAATATCTCGTCCTGTCTATTTAAAACAGTGGATTGTTGTAGTATAATAGGTTATAATAAATTATCATAAGGTACTTAATGTGTGTTGTATGTCATCTAATGTGTAGGTGGATGGGATCCTGTGCCTGGCCGACATCCTGACTGATGAGAGCAGTGTGGAAGCAGCCAGGGCAGAGGCAGCGGCCGTCGTGGCTCAGATCACCTCGCCTCACCACACGTCCACACAGCACCTCGCCAGCTTCCTGGAGAGCATGCACGACATCGTCACCGCGCTCATAAGTGAGTGGACTTACAATAGGCCTCACCAAGAGAAACAGGGTGTTAATAGGTCCAAATAAATATCTACCCGTGAGATTAAATTCTAGAGAAAATAAAATGTTAGTGTGGGTTTATTTTATTTTAGTTAATAATAATAAAGGTTCAGTGAAGGTATTTTTTATACTCACTCAGTTTCCAGTTTATTAGGGAAACATAATTCAGTCTAATACAACTACCCTACAATAAATCCTCCTTCATGACGGTTATAATGTTCAGGTTTTGCTGAGACCGTTTTGTTGTTGATTCAATGTTATGGTAAATTTGGAGGCTGCAGTTTGTAGTGCTGTTAAATTATGTTGTATTGAGAAGTGTTTCTTATGTCCTACCTATTTATATCAGTGAGGGCACAGTAATAGAACAGAATCTGAGGCAGTGACAATTTTGGCAAACCTCTCTCAGTGTAACTTACAGTGTAACTGTAACTGTAATACATTTGAACAGCACCACAAAATGCATCAGAAATGCAAAATGCAAAAAAACCTTCCTGGAGACAAGATTTATTTTAATTTCATTAGACTGCATTGATTTGACCTAACTGTACCTAATACACTGGCAACCAAAGGTATTTGTAAGGGCTATATAAAGAGTACAACAAAGTCCTTTTTGTATTATGCAGAAAATAATATTAATTACCTTAAGCTTGTACTTGTATGCTTTTTTTTCTTGTTACTTTTTTTTACCTTTTAAAAACTCCATAAAAACCCAATTTTGCAACTCTTGCACAGAAGAAAGTTGCAAAAAACAACTGTTGGTGTCATTGCTTTGAAATATGCCTCACTACAGTACCTTATTGAATTCCTTTAAATCCCTATAAAACTCTGCAAAACATGCAAACAAATAAGTTTTCTGATCTGGTCTCCAGGAGAGACCAACCTCTAACTGGACTAAATAATACATTAAGTGTGTTATTTATGTTATGTTGGAACCACTGTACTTATCAAGTGATGCCTTATTCCCTCAGAGTTGTGTGAGAGCGCCTCCTGCGGTGAAGTGTTCCTTCTTGCGTCTGCAGCCTTGGCCAACATCACCTTCTTTGACAGCATGGCCTGTGAGATTCTCCTGCAGCTTAATGCCATCCACATCCTGCTGCAGGCCTGCAAAGACCGCCAGAGGGTCGACACACCCTACTCCAAAGACCAGGTACACGTCATTAAGGTGTTATTATACAAAAACAGGGTGCATATGTGTATATGTGTCATCATGTTTGTTTATTATTCATTACTGTTTAAATCTCAGGTGGTGACAATCTTGGCAAACCTCTCAGTCTTAGAGCAGTGTGCCTCTGAAGTCCTACAAGAGCAAGGTAATTTATTTTTCACCTACAATTTTTAATTGAAAGTTATATATCATATCATTATTATTTCTTTGGGGGCACAAATGCAGTTGAATGGAAGAAAATACACCAGAAACAATTGGACCACTCACTGACGTGCATTAGTTGAGGTACAAGTGAGAAAAAATATTGTAATTCCTCTTTAATCCTGAAGATGGCAGCATCAGGTAACATCTGTGCAGTAGCCTGGAAGTGCTTAAATAAAATCAACCATTGAGCACATCCAGATATTTTTTAAAGATTATTGATATGCATTTTAAATGTTCTTTTTTTAAATCATGTTTTTTCATTCTTCAGTTTTATTATTAATATTTTCTGGTTTTATATGTGTTTCTGTCTTCTTTCTGTCTCATGTAAGTCTCTACATAACATTTTCCATTGACTCTGAGCTTGTGTTAGTCATGTACTGTAAAATACATAGATGGATGTATATGTTTTCAGTATGAGTCAGGGTCATTGTATTAGAGCCTCTCAGTGTATCAGTGTATCAGTAATATTCATCAGTAATCGTCCATTAAGTTTTTGTTTGATTTCTCAATCAGTATTTCTAAATATATTTTATAATTTGTTCTTTTCTGCTTTAAGGAGCATTTACAAAACAAAATTTTTATAATCTGCTCAACGTATTTCAATGTCAGTTTGTTATAGTCTTTGTCCCTGTAATTTAAAACTGAATTGTACTGATGCAGTGAGCCTTGTGGAGCATATTTGAAGAATTAGGCCTGACTGACTGAACTGTTTTTATCTCATCTTTGCTTTTAGAGTGTTTTTGGACTAATGACTTTGCTGTCTAGCTGCACTTTTCATCTATATCCTCTGAAAGTGATGTATGTAATGTCTGGCTCCTTTCTAATTCACCTGAACACTTTGTTGTGCCTGAGTCTTGTGTAACTTTAAGTCTGGAAAGTTTCTAACTGAACTGTTCATTGTGTTGGGTTCCCATGTTTCTGACTGTGTTACATTGTTTTGTTTTTCTGTTCTCTAACTTAATTCTTGTCTGTTTACTGCCTTCGTTTGTTAATAGTTTTTTATTGTGCGTCTTAAACATGTTCCTTTCTGATTATTCTGTTTGTTGTACTTCCGTTCCTTTTCTGTCCTTCCTGACATCTTTGATTCTTTGGTTTCTTGCTTGGCTAATCTCTACTGTATGTTGTGTTTCAGGAATAGAGCGACTGCTGCTGCTGCTGGGAGAAAAGCCATCCTCCTCCAGTCCATCAGAGGGCGCCGCCTGTGAGCGTGTCCAACAGAAAGCTGCGGTCACACTGGCCCGTTTGAGCAGAGACCCTGACGTGGCCCAAACAGCCATCCAGCTAAAAGGTACCACAGCTTTTTTTTTGTTTCATATAACACAATTACAGTATTTCTTATTTATTAATGGTACAATTAAAAATGCAGGAGAGTTGAGCAAAATTCATAAATTGCTAACAAAATAAAGTGGTAAAAACAAAATACAAATAAACTGCAACAAATAAAAAATATTAATTTGGAAAATCAATATAAAAAACCCAACACATAAATGAACTGAGTCGCTCCTATGGCCCTGCAGCCACTAGAGGGCTCCCAAACAAGTAAATTAAAATATTTCCCCACTTTTTCTCACAGTTTACTCACTAGATTTTATCTTAAGTGATATTATCTTATGCCTTCCTTTGTGTAGGTTTGTATATGACTTAATATACTTACCTATATTAAAGTATGCTTTGGGCTCCATAAGGACTTTAGCGGGTTGTATAGATATCATGGACCAAAAAAAAGAAAAACCAAAAAGAAAGTATAAAATATGTCATTGAAATTTTGGTGGGACTTTTTTGTAGAAACTGATCCAAAAAAAAATTGGCCAAACAGAATGTAAGAGGATTTCTAAGTTGTAATTACAATAAAAGTTGATCTCAAGGGGAGCCTTGAGGTACGCCATTCATAATTAATGAGGCTAAATCAACAAAATCACCAACTGGAAACAAGTCCCTGCTTCTTTGTCCTCTTGAGGTTTGAATATTTATTTACTCTCAGGAGAAAAAATGTCTCAAGATAATTTCCCAGGCCATAGGTCTGTACCCAATCACTGAACAGAGAAACGTCTTCTTTAATATACAAATGTTCTGTACGTTCTATATGTCCATTCCCCTGCATACCTCATCGTCTCATGGGAAGCAGCTCTTGATGAATACTTCATTAAACCTCATCATTTGATTTTTCTCATATACCCATATATTATAAACTCTATGAAAGCCAAACATGGAAAAGAGTGTATTTTTTTCTAAAGGTGATGCTACTTCTGTTTAATGTCATTGGAAGCAACGTGATTATTTGTAAAGAAAATTATATAAAAGCAAATAATGGTATTTTGGGAATGTTCTCAAGATTATAAGAAGTACTTTTACTCTGAATGCCTCCTGTACACAAGTACAGCTGCTTTGCATTTCTGTTTGATATCAATATCTAAGAATGGGACAAGCTTGTAACAGATTTTTTTCTCTCTCCTGTATTAGCTGTTCCTCGTCTTATTGAACTGTGTCGGTCCCCTACTGAGAGAAATAACAGCGACTCAGTGCTGGTTGCTTGCCTGGTGGGTGTTAAGTGTCTATATATGTCTATATATGTTGGTGTGTGCACAGAGACTCAATGTCCTGAATAGAAATATGAAATTTAAACATTCAAATTGTCTATTTCAGTCACACCCCTAAATTATTTTACATTTTCAGCTCCACTGGATATATAGGACTTCAATAGAACAAACCGTGAGCATTATACCACAGGTCTGCATGTATAACATCAGTGCAGCAAATGGCTGTCCAATTTAATTACATCCACAGGGCAACATTTGAAAATTGAAAATATATCACAACCTCTGTATCTTTAAGGCATGTTGAGATAGCTGACCGATTCACATCATCTCAAATGTTGTATGTTTAAATATGTACATATCATGAATAATATCCCTGCTCGTACTTTATCATTCTCTCAATCTGATCATAATGATTAAAACCAGATCTTAAGGCCGATGAGGGGATTTGAAGCGCATAATGGTCAGGAGCTTAATTGGGCTGCCTCGCCGCGCTGAGAAATGCCCTCTTCTTCACTGTAACTGCACTTGTCAGTCTATTCAAATTAACGTGATTCTATTTTATCCTTTTAGCCAAGGGTTAAGTAGTGCATTTGTAGGTGTTGAATTTTTATCTTCAAAGGACGCTGAGCTTTCACAGATCATTTGTAATCTTAAATGTAAATGTTGGAGCCTCTCCTGGCTGAATGGGTTTGAGACGTCACACATAACAACTCATGCGCTCTTGTAACCACAGCAGATGTGGAGAAAAAAAATCATCCTGTGATACTCAGCTAGCTCATGGACTGAATTTAGTTTCATCAGGTAGTGCAGTTTGACTAGTTTGTTCTTTGCTGCTAACAAAAGGGTTTTTTTTTTAAATTATTTAACTATATTAAACTTGTACTGATACAGTTCTTCCTCCGCAATTGTCTTAATGTATGATTGCATCTGTATTTACATGATTCAAATACACGTTTGCATACAGCACTGCAGCATGATCTTGATATGTGAAAACGCATATGTCTATGTTTTTTGTCTTTACACAAGTGTGTACTGATCTGTGTGTGTGTGTGTGTGTATGTGTGTCTGTCTGTGTGTGTGTGTGTGTCTGTGTGTGTGTGTCTCCAGGCTGCCTTGAGGAGGCTTGCAGCAGGGTGTCCAGACAGCATCGAAGCAGCCGACCACCAGCAGCTCATCAAACCACGTCTGGTCGACTCTTTCCTGCTGTGCTCCAACATGGAGGAGAGCTTTGTATGACAGCCTGCACACTAAACACTGAGAGCGGAGAGCTGAACTCATGTACGAGATCATATTCATATACTGTTTCATGATGCAGAGAGGACCAAAAGGCAGTTTCTCTGCAAATCATTCTGACTGAAGCTTTGTTTGTCACTTCATGTTTGGACACTCTGAATTTGATAAACGGAGTGAAACTGCATTGTGTCAGTTTGAATGGATGCAGAAGACATTTATATTTAAATATACATATATGTAATTTTATGTCAATGTGCTGCCTAGTGCAATGAATGTCTATGGTGTGAGGAGAAAAAAGGTCATTAGTTCATTTTATTCAACTGAGAATTTCACATCAGTAATTATATCAGTAATTATTTGTATGAGTAGGTGCTACTTTTTTAAAATGAAAGTATAACCTGTTCTGAATGAAACACTTTATATGTTACCACTGTGCAATGTTTTTGTTCTTGTCTCAAGATAGAGGATAACACAGAAAAATGCCTTTGACAAAAATTAACATCTGAAGTATTTAGCATTGAAGAACCAATATGTATTTCTGGTAAATTTGTCCTCGGCTCTTTTGTCTGTTAAAAATATGGCCTTTTTAAAAAATGTTTTCAATCAGCAGACACTTTATTTGGTTTCCGATCTGTTTGTCCTGGTGTACAATATATTGTTTCTTAAAGAGCATTGTATGGCATGTTAAACTGAATTTGCCATTAATCTCACATATTACGTATATTTGCTACTGGAAAATTAATCTTTTCAAATGGTCTTGACTTTGAAAATAAAAATGCTTTTTATTTAAAGAGAATTACCATTATTGTATGCCATGCATGGAATAAAGGCAATCATCTATATAATGTTCAGTGTGTTTGATTAGAATGACTTACTGCTATACTGTATGTGTTAAATGTTCACAATTGTATGCTTCAGTCTTTCATAAAAAAATGCAGTACACAACAACACATAGCATGGTAAAGCTACAAGAACACATAGTTAACATAGTGAAGAACGTACATACTGACAAAACAAATTAAGTACATAAATTAAGACAGAAGAAGAAGAGGAGAAGAAATACTTCAGGCTCTACCTTGTAACCGCTGTTATTTAAATTGGCATTTCTTCCAGAACAACAACAAAGGGTGACTAAGGGATTATGACAACATCTGCATTTTGCTTTCTAAATGGCAGCATTTGTACAACACTTTATAGTGCATTAAGCACTGTCAGGCATTTGTTTAAGACTGATAGTCAACATTACATGCTGAAAGTCTCTCTCCTGCATATTGCTGCACTCTGGTCGTCTTCACCTTTCTGCACTCCTTCCTGGCTGAGCAAGTATTAGGATTGTTCCTTTGAACTGACGAGTTTCTACACACATCTGCACATGTGTGTATTAATGTAAGTAATATCATAGCTTTTCTCGAATGGTGGAAGCTGACTCAACGACAGTCTGACAAGCAGACTTGTTTGTAGCTAGTCACTGATCAAAGTTACCAGTTATCTTTTTGGACATTATGTGCAAATGTCCAAAAGATTGTGCCCCTATGATAATTTTAGTTTCACATAATTGGAAATCATTTTATAATTTAGGTGACTGGTAAATATCCTTTGAGATTTCATATGTTTAATGTATATTAATGTTAATCTTAAAGAGGCTATAATCACTATTTTGTGAAAAGAGAACAATGTGAGTTTGCTCACTTGCAGTGATGAACATAAAGAATATGATCACCTAAATCTGCAGCCCTCTTCAGCTTTATGGAGATTTATAGTAATTTACTTGGAACATTTTGGTTCAGTCTCACCACTCTCATAGAGTCATTTTCAGCTCTTAACAGCAGACACACACAGTTAGCACCACACTAGCTGTGGAACATAGTGGAGCATTTAGCTGCTAAAGAGCCAGATACTTCACTCCAGATACTACACAACTCCAAATATATTACAATATTGTTTCATAAGTGTTAGATGTGTAAAATAAGCAAATCTAACATATCAACTTAAAAGATGTCAATATTGTGTACACAACTTGTTTCTGTTGACCCCAAGTGGCCAAAAAAAAATAGTAATTACAGGTTTATGGTGTCATACACGCCTAATATTTTCAATACCCAGAGAAATTTGAAGTATATAGACAGTGTAGCTCCACTGCAAGACAGTCTGCAGTTCAGCTTCTGTGCATCTTTACTGCGGTCACATGTTGTGGTGCTACACCACTGGTACATCAGCCCAACAGGGTCAGGGTCCATGTAGCTAAAGTCCCCCAGAAGGCTCAGCTGACCTCGGGCTATCTCAGAGGAACGACTCTCACTCACATCTGTCTTGTCACATATGCAGGCACAGGGAGGAGAAAAGCCTTTGAACGAAGCTCACAGAGAAAGAAAGAGGCTAGGAGAAAGGTGGGCCCAAAGGTCTACCTGATGCTCCTCCATGAACCACCAGGTCCTCTAAAAGAAGTGGCGGAGGGCATTTGCTATTTAAGCCTCCAACTTTTCAAAAACACTGACTCTCATTGGGAGGAATACCAGTGCAGAATGTAGCTATGTGCATTAGAAAAAAAACTTGTCATCAGCTTTTCAAAGTGAGAATTCATTCATTCATTCACAATAGCTTTGAAAGGGATTCACAATCCCAAGTGCAAGTCCAAGTTTTAGCTCACAAGTGATTGAGACTCGATGCAGCTAGTGATAGCAAAGAAATATGTGAGGGCTTATCTGCAAAACTTGTCCTTTGTATTGTCATCTCTTTGATGAAAACACTCTCAGGTTTTTTTTTCTCCATAAGCCTTCCTCTCCTTGGAGAGACAATTGAGGGCCTTCTTGCTCTCTCTGTAGCTTCTTTTTCACCTAAGGGCACTTATGCTGCCTGGACTTGTTACACCCTCACCCAGTGTTGAGACCATTGAGCTGCTTTGTGTGTGTGTGTGTGTGTGTGTGCGTGTGTATGTTGTCCAGCATACATGTGGGACTGTGTTCAGAGGCCTTTGTGATAGAATATGCTCCTGCCTCGCTTTGTTGAGACCCAATGAAATATGTATAGACACAGAGGAGAACTAAACAGACGGCCTAAAAACACAGGTTCCTTTGATATTGTTTTGGTTCGACCATGACCATGAGACCGAGTATTGTAGCTCTGAGTTTTTCAGCTTTTCTCAGTTTCTAAGCTCTTGAACTTTCACTCTCTGTCTTCTGTATGTGTGTTGTTGCCATCCTGATTGTTTTCACAAACTGCCAATGTGAGCAAAGTTTCAAGGTAGTGATTGAATGATGAAAAACCCACCAACCAACCAAGTTTTATCTCTAATAATTCTAATCGAAAAGGTCACTCTGGCAGGTATCAGAATATCAGCACTAACACTTTTATTATGGGAATTGTACATCATAAATACAATTCATCGTTCCTTAAAGGGGTTATTTGTTTGTATACGTTTTCTCTGCAACTGAATGTGGTTTCTTGCCCGGAGTGGAATGGTGGTGATTATGACAAGAGCTTCAGCCATCGTTGCATTTACAAGACATTAAGTTATAACACGTCCTCTGAGCAGCGCTACACCTTCAGAGCAGATTGGAGGCTACAGTTAGAGATCAGAAAGTGACAAGACAGGCTCGGGCTAGCTGGTTAGCATTCTAACTTCGTCAGACTAGTGCGGACTAGAGAGACCAATACATAAGAACTGATGAAGCCGCTTGGATAAGAGGCGAAACGTCTTCCACAGACAAATACAAGTCCAGTTGCCTTCGATTTAATTTGAGAGAGAGATAACTTCAGTAGAAGAAAAGAAACAAGAGTCAACATTAGTGTTGCTTTCCACTGCTGGAGAAAGCTTTTGGTTAGGGTGGCCAGTTGACCCCATTTTCCAGGGACAGTCCGTTTTTGGTGACTAACAAAGACAAACATACCAAAACCCCCCTAGCCGGAACTTAAAAAATGTTTTTATGTTGGAAGAAATGAAGAAGAGGAAGTCGCCCGACTGTCTGCAATGAACCTCACACAACAATATTCACAACCTTTTATGAAAAATTCTTTATAGGAATATAAATAATTGAGGAATTGATAGACAACAGGTCTTCACGTCTGCTTCAAAGGTAGGAAGTTGTCATTTTTTCAGTCGGCCTTCACCATAGTTTATTACATTACAACAGCTACCATGGTCAAAAGACAGGAAACCGGGACTATCCCCCTTTTTATTACATACGTAAAAACATTGGATATTTTAAGGATATATTGACCGCTGAACTGGAGGTGTCCCCACTTTTCATTTCAGATATCTGGTCACCTTACTCTTGGTGAATAAATTAATGAAGTTTGATGTTGAACTCATACCCTTACTTCTAGGCTGGTAAGTAAACAGCTGTTAATGTTAATGTTGGCTATGTAGCAATAGCAAAACTTAGCTCCTTTAAGAAGGGTAAGCTGTGGTACAGAGTCATTTTCATGTCATCTTCGCTGTCCTAAACCATAAATCAGACATTTTGTGTAAGAAAAGGATCTGAGGACTTGTAGTCTAATGCAAGAAGACACTTCTCTGTGACTCTCCTGAGACTTTAATATTTTATGTGTCACATCTTTTGCTTCTGACTCAGAAAAGTTTCTCTCTGTGTCACTCTTTTTAATTCAGAGGGCCAAATATTATTGAAATGTCCTCTTGCTTTGAAAGTGCTTTCAGAACTTGATACATTGGATTTTACTTTAGAAAGAAAAAATTCAAAAACAAATTAGTATGAAATAATTTGGCCAAACTTAAAAGTCGGATTCCTTTGGACAAGAGATTAAATGTGATGTAAGACTTCTTATAGTTTCAAGATGCACACAAAGAAGTGCTGACCCCTGACTCCACTGTTAGTCTACTGAAGAACTGCACTTCAGATGCAGTTGATTTCAGACTCAAGAAGGGGAAGATTATTTTCAAGAAGCCCCAAACATAAGCAGCCCGGTGAAGATGATGTCTCACTAAGGTAAGACATCATGTTCACACATTGAGCAGATTTTGTACAATTGGCTCAGTATGAATGCCTTAAATCAAGTGGCAGGGGGGTCATAGCCAGTTCGTCTCAGAGTGCACCAAGCCATAAAAGGCGAATGTTGACTCTTACTGCCAAATTGTGGTACTTTTAATGTTTCCACCAACAAAATGATTGGATATATTTCAATAACATGACCCCTTCTCTCATCTGAGTCTAACTGAGACTGGCAGGGCACTGAGTTCAATCAGCACAGCTCAACATACAAAAACCGACACACATCGTCTTCA